GAGCAGCTGGGCTTGCAAAGAATTCTTCTTGGAGCAGGTGCTATGAGCCTTGAGTACTTTTGGCTTCTGTCTCCTTGACTCCAGTTTTAGTTTGGGCATGACAAGATACAATAAAAAGGGCAGAAATGGATATATAAGTACAAAAATAAAAACTTTTATTGCAATTTGATATTGCTGCAAAATCTAAGAGTGTGTTCAGTATTGGTTAATAAGGGATTGGAAATGAAACTAACCAATTAACTCAAAAAAAGAAAATTTAAATTAAAACATGTTCATTCACCACATATAGTTTAAGAAGCATTGATCTAACTGACTCCTGTTGTCCCAAATATCCATTCACATGATGGTTTCACTTATACAGAACTAAATATGTATGTATATATATTATCATTAGCTTTCAAATCCCTCATCTTGAGTACTTTGCTTTGTCAATTCTCAAAGCCACTAAAGCTTTTATTACCTGGATTTAAAATAAATTGTAATATAAATTAGCAGATTTATACTACAAGAAGAGAATTGCTTCATAAAGGAACTTGAAAGTGATTAACAGTTAAACAAATAATTTTTCTTTTTTTTTTTTTCCTTTTTGTCTTTTTTCGTGTCCGGCAACGGGATCGCAACCCTCGGTGTTGCTCCCACACCTCGCTCAGCCAGTGAGCGGGAACCAGTCTGCATGTGGGATCCGAACCCTCGGCGGGAGCGCCACCGCACTCCCAAGCGGCGCACTGTAGCAGTGCACCACCGGGCCGGCCCTAAACAAATAATTTTTCATGGGTAAGAGCAAAGCTGTATCACATGTAATATAAACCCATATTTGACCAAATTGTCTTCCTGGTTACTGCAATCAGTTACATCCTAATTATAAGAAAAATGTGCCTTTTTATTTTTATTTGTTTTTTAAATCTTTTAGATGTTCGTAATTTTATTGTGTTATTTTATTTTAGTATCCTATGCCTTTTTTTTTTTTTTTTTTTTGTTTGGTGGCTGGCCTATAAGGGGATCTGAACCCTGACCCTGGTGTTATAAGGCTG